TAGTAAAATTAACTAGTCTATAGTAGAATAGAGTAAAGTATATATTCTATATATACTTAATCTCGACTAGAGATTACTAAAGGTAATTATCTCTAATTATAATTCTAAATTTATATTAGAATTCTAGTAGATAGTATTTCTAGAGTTCTTACTATAATTAATAATTTTATATTTCAAATATAGATTAAAAGTCTATAGCTTATCTATAGATTAAGAAATTAGTAAGTAGTATCTTTAGTACTAATACTAGTAAGTCAGTAGATTCTATCTTTTATTTATTATATTTAGTCTTATAATTTTTTCTCTTTTTCTCTAGATATTTTCTAGAGTAGTCTTAAGCTTAAGATATTTAACTATATACTATATATTATTATTATAGAGTTTTTTATAAGTCTTATATTTTAGTATAAACTTATCTTAAAAGTTTTAGTTTTACTAATAACTTAAACTAGAGTTATAAAAAAGAGTTCTCTTTTAAAGATACTATTTATATTTTACTTTTCTTTATATATCTTAACTATAAGATCTAAAAGTATAGTTTTTAACTTTACTAGATTAATATAATTATTTTATATAATCTAGAGTATTTTAAAAATATTAAAAGATAATAGAAGTTAGTTAAAATATATATTTACTATTTAAGTAAAAGATAAAGTAGTAGTCTTAAAGAGAGATTTAAGCTTATTATTTAAGTAGAGAATATTATTATAATACTCTATAGTATTTATAAATTAATTAAAGTAAAGATTAAAAAGAAAGGTTTAAAAGTAATAAAAGATAATAACTCTTTACTAAGTAAAGATAAAACTTTTTCTAAAGCTTACTAATTAAAGTTTTTAGATTATTCTCTAGATTATTACTAACTATAATATAATCTTTATCTTTTAAGAAATATAGAGTTTTAAGACTTAACTTAGACTATATAATTAAACTTTTTTAAATCTAAAGTTTTTTTTACTTTTTATACTATATAGTAAAAATCTTAAAAAGTTTACTCTTAAGTTAAATTAGTTATTTAAGTTTTATTATTAAGAATTCTTTAATTAAGATAGCTTTTAATAATAAAAATATTATTAATCTATTAAATCTACTTAATTTAGTTAGTTTTATTAAGATTTAAATAGACTATAAGAGTTAAAGTAAAGTAAGCTTTATTTTCTAAAGTTATTATAATATATCTAGTTATTTAAAGAAGACTTAATATAATACTTAGCTTTTAGTATAGAGTATAGAGTATTCTTTAGTAATCTTAATAGTAAAGTTATAGGTTAGTTTTTATACTTTATATTTAAAAATATCTATAGAGAAAGTAGTTAAGAAAGAGTTATAAGTAAATTTAGAAAAGTAAAAATCGCTAGAGATTATAGTAATAAAAGTACTTAAAGATAAATCTTTCTTATTAAAGTCTTAACTAAAGTTAAAAGAGTTAATAGACGTTTTAAGAAAAACTAAAGTATAGTAAGAGAAAAGCTCTAGTCTTAATAATAATTCTAAATAATATATTTCTAAATCTTAGTTTTTAGTATTAGAATTAAATCTCTAATATTTAAAAATAATCTCTTTAGAAAAAACTTAAAGTTCTTATTTTATTAATATATTTATAATCTATACTATTTAAAATTAGTTTAAGAAATAAAGAGCTTAGTTAAAGAGGTCTTTAGATAGTTACTAAGAATTATAAATTCTAATTTTAGTATATTAGTTTTATACTACTAGTAGTATATTAAGATATCTCTATATTATAGCTTAAGTAGTATAAGTAGAGATAACTATACATATTATTTATTAAGTTTAATAAATTATAATCTTATAAACTTATATTTAGTTTATATTATTAATAAATAAAGTAGCTATAAGATTTAGATATTATTTTCTTTATCTTAAATTAATAATTTACTCTTTATATTATATCTCTAAGTACTAAGGTTATTTTTACTAGTTCTATATACTATTTATTTATAAAGTAAGAAGAGAATTTAGCTAGAAGTACTTAAGTCTAGACTTATAATCTATTAAATAGTAAGAGAGATACTTTAATAGTAAGAGAGATACTTTAAT